GGTAAAAGAGTAGCCCAAGAGTTGGCGGTGCGTGGTGATGACTAGCTGCCTTCCCTCTAGTCTTACACTGCTAAATTAGGGACGGCTAGCGCAGATAGCCCTCGTGTAGCTTTGCGCGAAATTCCAAAAAAACAAACAAACAAACAAATCGTACCCTTGCCGAGGTAAGCAAAGTATGGCGTCTTGTAATAGTTGCGAATCCATTAGCACAAATGTCAATGGCAAAAGATGTCCGCGTCTACCAGGCAATAGTACACTGCATGAACAAGTAGAATTTTCATCTAGAAAAGCGACAAAAGTGTACACAAAAAGCTTCCACTAAATATCAGTTGCCCATCGGATGCTTCGATTAATTACAAAATGAAAAGGATTTCCATGTTATTTCACATGAAGAAATACTGGTCAAGTTGCCGGACTCAGCTCCTATGAATTTTGTGTGGATGAAAAGAAGTAACTGACTTTAATATGTTGACCAATATCGAAAAGTTTTGTTTTCAACTATATTTTTAACATTTTAGTTTAGATGTTTGCTAGACAGCTCAGAATGTTGCGATCTGGAAAATTTGGGTAATGAGTAGAAAGTGAGTATGATATAAATAGGCGTAAAGTGAATCATTGAGTAAAAAGTGAGTACGCACTGATCTTATGAGTTCAGTGTCAGACAAGTTATTTAGTGTTAGAGATGGGTTTTATTGCGTCTGTTGAGTTACTCGATCGATTAACGAGGAAATTATGTGTTTTTATTTGTGAGTTAGGCTTACTTACAGTTTATCTCGTTTGTTTGTTTGTTTGTTTTGAAACACTACTTATAAGAGTCATGGCCTGGCATGGCCAGGTGGTTAGGGCGCTTAACTCGTAATTTGAGGGTCGCTGGTTCGAATCCCCGTCCCACCAAACATTCTCGCCCTTTCAGCCGTGGGGGCGATATAATATTATGGTCAATCCCACTATTCCTTGGTAAAAGAGTAGCCCAAGAGTTGGCAGTGGGTGGTGATGACTAGCTGCCTTCCCTCTAGTCTTTTACTGCTAAATTAGGGACAGATAGCCCTCCTGTAGCTTTGCACGAAATTCAAAACAAACCAACAACATGTAATACTAATCATTAGTGGATCTTAGATTCTGACACAGGCTTTCAGTACTCTAGAAATTACTCAAGTAAATAAGAGTTTATCTATGTATATAACATTCAAACATACATGAAATAGTGGCATAAACAACAGCATATTGTTGCGTTATCGAGGTCACGTGACTAATGTCACGCCACCTATTTTCTAGAACTATCCTGTTCCTTCGGGAGTGCTCTAGCATTTGCTAGATTGGGGGTGGGCTGGTATATATAAGATGGTCACGGCGTGACGTGACAGTGTGTGTGTGTGTAGGTAGTGAGTAATTGAACTGCAGTCAGAAAGTATTGTTGAAGTTAACGTTCGTTGTTATAGAGCGACTGTTGAAAATAAGTGTATCGGTAAAGTTATATTAAGAAAGGACTTGTGTCGCTAAAGTTTCGTCGGAACGAAGTTACGGAAAATCAACTAACGAACGGAGACGTAACAATATGATCACAAACAATACCAACAATATAATATGTTACTGTACTGTTGCAAAAATGTGCTTTCATTTGTATATTTTAGTGTAGGAACCTGATTTCATTTCCAGTTGAAGTTTGAATTTTTTCACAGGATTTTGACAGTGTGTGTACCTGAAGTTTCTTTCTTGAGTTCCTGTGAGGCATCCTTTGCTTTTAATACCATAGGCAGTATCTGATAGCATAAAATGTTTTCTTTTTCAAGGATCAAACCACAAAGTTTAACAGTGTAAGCCCTGACTAACAAACTGGGCAGAATACAAGTGGCAGATCCAGGGAGGTCATAAGGGACATGTGCTCCTATTTTTTTCACAAAGTAGTAGTAAAGTGCCCCTCTTCAAAAAATAAAAACTATACACAAAAGTGATTGAACTATGGGTGGATACTGGGGACATATGCTCCCCCTTTTTTTGCAAAGTAGTAAAGTGCCCCTTTTCAAAAAGATAAAATTATAGCATTAATAATATATTAATGTCACTAAAGCTGCATACAGAGCTTAAAAATATGAAGTGGGTTGTAGTTACCAGCATTTTTTTCTGGCTCAATTTAAGTTGGCATTTCTTTATACAAATCAATAAAAACGTGAAAGATGTCCATCCAGATTCAAAGTGCTTCTGATGTTTATGAGAAAGAAGTAAAAACACAGTGGATTACAGGCCCTGACATTTGAAAAATGCATGAGGTTTGTAAACAGCCCCTGCTAAACAGTACATGGGTGCTGACTGACTGAATTGTATTATTTTTCTATTAAGTGAACATATTTCAAAGTAAGGATAGTTTGTTTGTTTGTAATTAAGCACAAAGCTATACAATGGGCTATCTGTGCTCTGCCCACCACGGGTATCAAAACCCAGGTTCTAGCATTGTAAGTCCGCAGATATACCGCTGTGACACTGGGGGGCAAGTAAGGATAAAAGGCTAATATAAGGCCTGGTAGATTAATTTGATGAATAAACAAAGTAACAATCAATAATATTTTTATATCCAGTACAATATGAAAAATTATAATGTTATAATCTCCTTAAAGTCTTGCACGTAACACCCTGACTAGAATCATAAGATAATTACTCTTTTGTAACTTACAGACAGAAGTAAGATGGTATATATAAAAATTGTTACTAAAAAATAAAACATCCATTTGGCTATTTTTTTTAAAGTAAGTCACAAACTTGTGTAAACACATATATCATAAAACACTGAGTTAATTGGAAGCAAATGTACTTTACATAATCATTTGTATGTATCAAGATCCTTTGTTCTGTTAGGTAGTGGAACATACCAAATCATTATCTTCACACACACATTTTGTACAGGATAATTATCTCCATCAGCAATGTCAACATCAAATGATTTCTGTGTAATAAGTTCTTGAAAAGAATCTCACCTGTTTCAGCCTCCTCACTTGATCTAATAGACAGGCCACAATTAGTATCATCGTCACCATGATCTCCAAAATCATTTAAATCTTCATCATCCATGGGATAAATTTTAATTTCATTGCACATGTCTGACATCCATTTCTTGGCTGTACATTCTAAAGATGTGTTAGAAGGATTTGTACCAAATTTCCTTTTCTGCCGTAAACTTCTCCAAGGCTGCTACTAATATATGTTTCTTTTCCTCATGTGTCTGTACAAGATCATTTGTTTTAATCAGTAGAAGGTTCTCTACTGTTGCATGTTTC